TGCTTGTGTACTTGTTAGTGCGTGTCAAGGATGCGTCACAGATCTTGATATTTTTATGTTCAAATTCAAAATAATCTAAATGTTTACATACTAAGTTGAACAACATTCTATTCAATTCTGAATCGAATTATAAAGTTTATTAAGCACCGGCAAGGTATTATTAAAGATGGCCAGTCAAAAGCAAATTTTTGTGATTGTCAATAACATGGTCCGATTCATGCTGACAACGCTCATGAGCATCGTTTGTCTTCATTCAACATTTGATAAACAACAAGGATAAAATCATTTTTAAGCATTGTGAATGTGAATCGGATCGCGGCCTAATGTAGGAGTCACATTGCGTACAGCATCCAACGATACCAATAAGAAAATTCAGTTCAAGTTAGCGACATTTTTATCTGCATATACTTTGTAAGTTGTATATTGCGATGTGTCCGTCATATGTACGTCGTCGGACGAAAAAGTTAATCTTGACGAACATTTTCATACGACAAGCATCATCGTACGACAAAATATTGCTAGCTGAAATATTTAGAAAACAAGCTCTTCTAATGGATATCGGACGACACACATCGGATGTAGGGTTACCAACCGTACTCTTTTAAGAGTACATGTACTCTTTTCAAAGTCGGAAAACAGCGTACTCTTACTTTTTACTTATTGTACTCTATTTTGAGAAATGAGACGAAATTTAAAAAATTATTATTTAATATTTACATTTATTACTTTACAAAAAAGTTTTGCTTGGCTTGTACTAAGGCTTTGACCATTATGTAAAATATAAATATTTATTTACATATTATATAGAGGTTTTGATAGAGATTTGGTTATATATATTTGTTGAAGAAACTTATAAATAGCAAAATATGTTAAATACATGAATCAATTTTATTTTCTCAATTTTATTAACATTAACATTAAAAAATCTGGAAGTAAAATATAAAGAAACATATTTATTCGTAACTTTATGAAGACTGAATAGACGTTGTCGATAAAAATTCTAAAAATGTTATTTTATTGAATGCCAGCATTTAAAATAAAAAAGTCATCTTTTTTCCTTTTTTTTTTAGAATATACTCTTTTTGCATATCAATATACTCTTTTCGTGCGACCAAGAGTTGGTAACCCTAATCGGATGTCGTACGCAGTGTGAGGCCTGTTACACAATAGAGTCGCAATTTGTAAGCCGTAAAAAATTAGTCAACTACAGTTGAATATGACAAAAATAATCGACTATTATTGATTAATTTCTTACGGTTTACGAATTGCGATTCTATTTTGTAACAGACCTGAACCCTACAGAACCCTAAGTGGGCCCGGAGATAATTGAAGAACGATTACATTACCGACTGTTGTGACTGTATCAAGTAAGGATAACACGCTATCACGTTTGTTATCCTCAGTACGAAGGCAAATCAATGAGTACCCGTGTTTGAAGACAGACGGTATTACTGATGCAAGTTGGCTAAAATCACTAGATCTATAAAGTACCGCAAACTCGCATCCATTTTATCGCAAAACGCGGCCATTTCGAATTTATGCATTTGTATTACGTGCTTTATTTGGGAAAATGAAGCCATCATATAAATCAATGTTTTGAATTATAATTAGTTATATATATATATATTATATGTATACGCACGATGGATACTTTTACTCTCAAAGGAATATTTCTTATTTTTCTTATTCTAAATATTATATTCATGTTTTTAGTACTATATGTTATACTGTGATCTTGTAGCGCCAAATGTTTACTTCTTTAATTTTTTGTGGTAACATTTGAATGGACAATGTAATGCAATTTTGTCATAACGTTTTAAATAATGTTTTGAAGGAGAATTAAATAACTACTACTTTGATTGGAAGAGAAAATGTCTTTGAATGAATTGCGATATAAGAATTATATATAAAAAGAATTAAAGTCATTTGGATCGAAAAAGTCTTCAACAAGAAAGAGTATTGAAGACTGTTGAAACCTATATACTTAGATTTCAATATGGGATTTATAATGAACATAATGACGATTTCTAATATAAGGGTGCGTCCAGACTATCAAGCATCGAGCATCAAGCCGCGAGCCGAGCGGTTTGATGTGAATCAATTCATTTCAATAATGTGGATGTAGGATCTTTGAATCGCGGCTCAATGTTTGGCTCGATAATCTGGACGCACCCTAATGATTACCTGAAAAACTGAAGATGACAGCAATGCAATAGATAACAGCCGCCACTAAACGAGCTCTCCACTTGCTTTGAAAGGGCTATAGTCCAACAGCGACCAGGGTAAATCGGTTTGTAATGCTCTTCGGGATGTCCCATTTGTTTCAAAAATCTCAAACAGTCCGTAGGGACAAGAGAGAGCTCGTCGATTATTATTTTATATTTATCTAATCTATTTTTCTTAAGGTCCACTTTATTCCTTTATTTCTAATTTTTTTATATTCTTAATAAAAATCTTCTTTTATCTTTTTATTATCGGGTGAATTATATCGAAAAAAATGCACGCTTTTACCATGAAGACGTAAATTTTTTAAGAACTCTTAAGGGCCACTTTTACTAACTCCGATTAACTTAATCGGCCAATCAGTCCATTGGAATTGACCAATCGCATTTGTCATTTGGTTTGACGACAGATGGCGATTGGCCAATTCCAATGGACTAATCGATCGATTAAGTTAATCGGAGTTGGTAAAAGTAGACCTAAAAGGATTAATCTATAGTACATGTACAACATTCGGGTAATGACATGAATATTATTTATTATTATATACATATATATGTTTAAATATTATACAGGGTGTTTCCAAATTAAATGGCAAAACTTCGGGAGCGTGTAGAGGAGTAAAAAACTAAGAAAAAAAGTCCTATAGACATATGCTCCTTTTTGCTTTGTTTCGCAGAAAATCACGAAAAAAGAAAAAAATATACTTAATTTGGTCTCAGGATGATTGTCAAAATGTTGTAAAATACGATTCCCTGCCTGCAAATCTCTTCGTAACGCTGCTTGAAATCGGTTGTTTTCTTGTCGAATTGAAAATGATCCAGTCTCTCGCAATCTATTAAATGTCAACATAAACACTCTTCGGTTTGGCACTCTTCTGTTTGGAAATCGTCGTGCATATTCTCGCACCGCCTTTAAAGCATTACCGTTGCAGAAACCGTATACAAAAACCATATCAGCATATTCACTATTAGAATACGTACGCGGCATATTGCAAAAGACAAAATTCATCTACTGTTAAAGGCTTTCAAAGAGCGACTGACAAATTCATAACAGAAAGTGGAAAATGTAATCAAATATGTCGGTGCTAGATATGGCAAGAAATGTAAACATTTTTTTTCGATTTCTCTGAAACGGAGCAAAAACGAGCATATGTCTATAGGACTTTTTTTCTTAGTTTTTTACTCCTCTACACGCTCCCGAAGTTTTGCGATTTAATTTGGAAACACCCTGTATATATGTTAAAATATTAAAAGTTGAATTTTCTTGCATAAGCTAAACTTAAAATGATCAGTGAGTTTTTTCACGGAAACAGTCATTAAAAAAATTGTAACGCTGTTAAATACTCCAACAAATGTCCCGTTATTCTAAAAAGGATTTACATGCATTTGTCAATTGTTATATTTTATTTATTTATTTTGTATTCATATTTACTCTGCACATTTACTTACCTGTAAACCTCACCAACAGATTTCTGTTTTCATAAAGAAGAATTTTTAATATGATCGTAAAAAAAGTCAGTACATGTCTAAGGTTTTTGTGAATTTTCTACGTTACTTCTACACTAACATCTTGATATAGAAACATTTCAGATTTGTCTCATGAACATGCAATAGGAGACTGCCGTTTGAAGTATCTTTGAAGGTAAACATTCTTTATATTCTTCATTATGATTTTATATTGATTTATATTACAGTATATTTTTCCTCACCATTCCGAAATTCTGTAAAGACATTACGCAAAACCTGCAGGCAGTCAGGATAAATGGGCGAAAACGTCGTTTCATTATTAATAATAATGGTTTCTGCTCTGAAACGTTTGCATTATACCACGCAGAATTGTACCTATACAAAATCAACATAAAAAATCAACATTAAAATATCTTTACTTTAACATTTTTTAAATATTAAAATAGGTCCTGGATTCGAACTCTGGCTGAGGTAATATTTTTCGCAATAAGTTGTTTATAGTTTTTTTAATTTAGGGGGATTATTAGCGTCTCAGATCGATTGTGTTAAAAGTCCGAAGGTTTCGGTGCACAGTCATATCTGAGATAAATTGATTTAATATAGGAATGTCTGAATGTTTCGGCACGCAATCATTTTAAATTTAATAAAGAATATATATTATATTACTTGAAACATCTACCTTTGACCGTTTATTCTGAGCGTTCTCTGTCGTATTTATGTATTAAAATTTTAGATGTATTAAATAATAAGATAGTTACGTACACATATAAAATATCTTATTTTAGAATTAAATTTTATTAAAGAATTAACGTAATAATGCAGTAAGTAAATATTGTGATGGAGTAAGAGAGATGGAGTTTATCGGAAAGTTAACTTTTAAAGACCGTTAACATTGCTTTAACAATTTTTTTAAATATAGCGAATGCTATTTAATCCTTCGTGTTCACTTCAAGAAAGCCACACGATGGTTACTCTGGGTTAAAATGACCCGAAACGGTTTCTGACCCAGAAGAATCACGAAAGATTAAAAAAAATTAAAATATATAATTTTAGAATTTTATATTATATATATTTTTTACTTCTGTTTTTGCAAATATATTTAGTGGCACTTTTATAATTATTTTTATGCCTTTATCATTATTTTTATAATTATGTAGTGTATATTTTCAAGTAAATATAAAACGTTATGCAAGGAGATATAAGGAGAGCGAGATTTTTTCTATTTTACTTATTTTGACTTTCTCTTCCTATTCTCAATTTACATCGGTATTTTTAGCGATTCAGATATATTTATTATTAAAAAGAAAGTACTTACACTTTCTCGCATACGTTTAAGCTCATGTCCGTGACTTTTTGTGCCATATAATTAGATATGAATAGATATACCACTGCTATAATAGAGAGACTGATAGATCTGAAGGCTCGATCAATATCACCGCCTGTGGTAAGTATCTGAAAGATTTTATTTTTGCATTTTGATACCCTCAACGTGTTTCTGCTGTCAACATACCTGTGTTAATGCAAGGCTTAACACGAGAATTAATTCTATGATGTCCATTAGAAACGGTACTGTGTGATAAATTTCGATCATACCAATGAATCTTGTAATATAAAATATTATATATGTTAATGAAAACTGTTAAATAAAGGATAAAATATTTCTTGCACATAAAAATATATGAAAATATTTATCTAATATTAATATATATTGTTATGAATAATTTGTAATTTTTATAATATATTTCCTGATGCTTGACTTTTTAGGCAGAAAATCGTTTTAAATGGTAAAGAAATAATAGTTAAGTTTAAAAATGTGTATTAAAATAATAATCAAAAGTATCTATTAAAATATATTATTTAAGTTAATACTGACAATAAATTTTTTTATTAGCCATAATCATATAAAAAACAAAATTAAGTGAAAAAAATAAGCTACTCATTACTTTTCGACTTTGTGTGCTACATGCTATACAATTGGAAAATTGTGTTAAATTTAATACATGTTACGTGGTCTCAAATGGTCTACTCAAATTTTTGTGTTAATTTAACACAAGATAATATTACGAAGTAAAACAAATGTTACGTAAAAAATTAACACAAAAATATTTTTTGCGTCCATATCATCATGTCCGTATCATACAAAAAAAAGATACGCAATGGTACGCAAGACGTATGAAAAAATTTCTGTTTGACGCGTTGACATCATTCCGTTAATTCTAGTAGCCCGAAACCAAAAAACCAAAGAAATTATTAAATTGTAAGAGTTACATTATTACTGGAACTAGAATATAAGGAAAAAATCGATGAAACGGTAATGTTTTGAAAAATGGTATTGATTTTCACCCATAAATTTGTTTCGTTTCTTTTTTATATAATAAAATGGAATAATGGTAAATTATATTCTGTAGTTTCAGTAATAAAAGAACATATACTAAATGAACATGCAAAAATTCAAGTCGATCGGACGCTTAGTTCCCGAGATATTATGTCAACGCGGTTGAACAATGCTGTTTTGAGAAAGATGCGTTTAAAGTTTCAACTACGATTTACAAATAGATTAATTGTACCTACAGCTATCTCAGCCTAATCAGTTATTCCTGGTCCGCGATTTTCTCTGCGTCCTAAGAACCTAAATAGGTTCGAATAGAAATATAAAAAGAGATAGAAATAGGCAGATGTTCTTTTGTTCGAGCAATAACAATCAGAGATCCGTACGGCGGACCAAAACTCTAGTGCGCCTAATCTCTACCTGCGGACCATTTTAGTAAACAATGAATAACTCAGTTATTTTACATTATTTCTGTGAACGGTTTTGGTAATATATTTTCAAGACTATCAACTTTCTGAAAATGCACACACACACAATAAAAGAAAAATTTATTTTTTTGACTCTATAAACCAGAATACCCCCTTAAATATCAATTTAACACAAGATATTTAAATAATACACAATTACATTGTGTCAAATTAACACTTGGATATGTAAATATTCAACAAAAAAATTTAACAAGGACTTGAGTAAACAGTTGAGAAATACAAATACAAAATGTTTTTTACTGTGTATAGCCATAACATTTGTTTGCAGAATGTTCAATTAGACTAAACGGATTTACAGATATCGCATGCCTCGTATAAAGGTACAAACTCTATAACGTTGTAATGCATTTGTATAAAAATGGCCATGTTTCCATAATTTATTTTTGACCGTATTAACTCGTATTCTGCTGTATCTTTATTATGTTCAACATCATAAAATAAGCATTCCGCGCGATACCTGTTAAAATTATCATCAATATTATTCTTACAACTAACTTTGAATAATATTCATTTTGTAACAAGCGAAAGAAAAGACGAAATCATCGATTATTTCTGAGCAAAGAAAATGTTTTTTAGAAATAATGAGCACATTGTATCCAATAAATAATTCAACATAGATGGCTTATTATTAGATATCTTATATTTTAGTTTGCAAACATTTTGCTCCATTCAGATCATTGATAATATTGAGTTACTTGTTATAATTACAATTTATAGTTACAATTTAAATTACGCAGTTAAATACGTAACATTTACGTTGCCAATTTTTCTTGTTAATAACTTTATAACGAAGAGCAACTGCCAAGTAAAATCTGTCGGAGATCACTCAGGATCATGATCTTGACAACATATGTCAAGGTCAAGATCATCGGAGCTGTTTCCGTTATCAATATTTACCAAAAAAATTTTAACATGAAAAATTTTTTTAAACATGAAAAGAAAAATATTTTTAGTTCTTTTAGTTCTTTTTTAAAAAAATAATATATGTTTGCCATATGTGAATCTGTATCCAGATTCAAAAATTAATGGGCCAGCTATGCGCTCTACATTGTAGCGATGAGTCGTCTGCTCTTTCGTAAATAATTTCGTGGAGCAATTTCTTACCCCAGCAACTCGCACATTCCACAAGCATGTTGCGTAAGAGTCACACACAAAGTGGAATTGGCACAAAAAATTATTGAAGTTACAATGATCATAATGAATACATAAAGGTTAATAAGGGTAGGATACTGTTCCTCAAAGGCAAAGAACTCCAATTGAAAAGGTTGTGTTCGCGAGCGAGACTCATTCATGGGCAATATAACGTCGAGAATATAGGGCAGGAACATTTGTAGGTTGCACGCTATCATGACTATGTATAAAACTGAAAAATTCGATAACTGTAAATTTCTGAATTCAATCTTCATTAATAGTTTACATTAAGAAATTATAAATTGAATACTCTAATCCTCTAATCTAAATGGCGTGGCCATTGCACTTTCGCTTTTCTAAGATCTTCAAGATTATAATATGTTCAATATCCAAAAAACGATTCAGAGTTTTTAGTATTCTGTTATTATATTTTGCCGCAAGCTCTCAAAAAAATCTACTTAATAAAAATATATTAATATATGATACGAAGAAAACTTTGCAAGAAGTTTAGAAAGAAAAGTACAGCAAATGTGAACAAAAATGAATCCAATCATTCTTTGAAAATTCCACATTCATTCAATTTTACAACTATTATAACAAACGCAATTTAAAAATAAAATTGTAATTATATATCTAAATCATCAAAAGAAATGTCACACGTCGAAAATAATCCGTCTGACGAGTAATACACAATGATAATGGAGAGAGAGAATGACTGATTTCGCACATAGAAAAACAGATTTTACAGATAAAAAAGCACATCTTTTTCTTCGTAGGAAGAGGATAAAGCAAAATCTAATGTTTTTCTTACTTAAATAGTACAACGAGAATAATCTCGACGTCTCGGCATACTTGTGCATAATATTTATCTCAGAACTTGTCTTTTGTAATTTCCAATCGTCTCTTATACGCTCGAATAGATCCTTTAGCTAAAAATAAATATAATAATGAGCTATAAAAAGTTTATAAATTACAACTTGTAAAATAACAAGTGCAAGACACTTGAAGATAATAATTAAATGATTATATTTATATTCATTAGACTATCAATCGACCTATTATCATAATCCATCGATTGATATCAAGTCATATATGTAATAATCATAAGATTTAAATTTCATAAAAGATTTGCGGATGATGTATCATTTTTGTTTCATTTTATTGATAAATATTTCATTATACATAAAATTTATTCATGTCATTTTGAATGATAAAAATGACATTAATTATACGCATAATCGTGCTGGGTGCAATTTTATGAGTACATATAGATGTACATGGTTTATAGTAAATGGTTTTAGTTGTCTTTGTCAAGATTGAACATATTCCAGGTACTAGATGATTCGAGAAATCGAATAAAATCAGTCCTACATGATACACAATACATAGTTATAATAGCAAACTTTGAACAGCTGTAGCACTCAAGGGATTCATTTTACAAAGTTGTGCATATGGAACTTTTTAATCCTTTTTTGATGCTCTACAATCCTAGCTAAGTCTCAATACTGTTCAGCCGGGGTCTAAACTGGGCATAGTCCTTTATTATCGATATAATATTATTTAAGTATCAATGAAGTATACATTTAAATATAATTTTTGTAGTATTAAAAATAGCTGAAATCTTTTTGGTAATATTTAAAAAAAGATTGCAGATTCTTTCTGTAATATTTCATCAATTTTTCAACAAAGTTTCATGTGCAAGAATCGCGGACATTTTGCTGTCTCAGAAATGTTGTAGACATATTTCGCAATTTTTATGAAATGTTTCACTTTCCAGTTGAAATATTTCTGAGATATTTCTGACAACTTTTGGTGCTATATGAGATTTTAAGAAACCTCCACGCTGTTTCTTCATGTATTGTAAACTACTATATAGTCTGTGGATTATTATTTTGTAAGTACAGATTGTATAGCTATATGAAATAAATATTAATTGTCACGACGTGACAACATTTGTTTCATATAAAAGCTGTGCAATCTGTACTTATGAAATAATAGTCCACAAACTAATTGCACAAAGAAATAACGTGGAGTTCTTAAAATTGAACTTAGATGTCTAATTAAAACGTTATTGTTATACGAAAATTTATGTGTATGTATGCGTGATATTGATGTAGTAGTATGTAGTGATGTGTCGATGATATGTAAATCGTCTGTGTGTAAGTGCTATTTACAATATGACTAATCGTCTTTAAGATCCCCTTAATATTTAATACCTCATTGTGATGTAAGTAATACCGATAATTGACTGAGCTTACTTTATCTATACGGTTGATACGTGCATATATATGGCTCAGGCCAGCTATTGTAGGTATAAATTCTGCCATCACATCGATTATAAAATCCATGGTGATGTTAGCCGTACTAAAGGTCAACATCTGGAAACATGTTATTAACTTTTGATAAGAACAGAAGATAAACATTTTTAGAAGATATATCTTTGATTAATATTTAAAGTAGAATTATACGGTTCATCCAAAGAACGTTCTAAAATTTTAAATAATTTTATATTTCGTATAAACATATAAAAAGACATCTGCATGACATTTTATTTAGGATAGTTTTTAAACGAATATAATTTCAATTGTAAATATATATTTTAAATAGAAATAATACCCACGTAACACAGTTCTCTGAGGGACACAGAATGTTCTCTGGATATCCATTGAATAACTATGTTATGAGATGCTAATATCGAAATTACAACATTTCTTCAATTATTTAGTAACTAGTTTCTAAATTCTAACGTTTAATCGAAAAAAAATTTTTCTAAATTATTTAATTAAAGAAAAAATTATTTTCTAATACCATGATTATACCTGAAAAATTATAGTCGTTACGAATATAATATTATTACTAGCCCTCATTAAACGAACACTCCACTTGCTTTGAAAGGGCCATAGTCCATATAACGACAGAATAATTCGATTTATTTTGTAGTAACGCTCGGGATATTCCATTTGCTTTGAAAATCTCAAACAAATTATAGGAACAAGAGCTCGTTGATTATTATTTTGATATATTTATCTATTTATTTTTCTTAAAGTTTATTCTATTTTTTTATTCCTAATTTTTTAATTTTCATTATCAAATAAATTGCAATGTCTTAAGTAATAAATGTTTCGTCACTTTGAGTATAGAATCGATCCAACAATACTTGACGAATATAATCGTTAAAAAATTTGAATTTAAATATTTATTAGCCAAGTTACTGCATAAAATGTAAATGGGAGACCATAATATCATCTCCTCTAATAAACATCTGTCCATTTCTACATATTTACCTACAACGTTTGCTGGAAATTCGTCTTTTAGGATATACTTGTAATTAAATAAAATACTTGTATTTTCAAAACAGATTACTGTTAAAATTGAAAATTGTTTCTGATGTAACTTGATAGTTTAATCGTCTTTTGTCGTGTACTGTGCGAAATAGACTACTCGAATAATCTATTTTACCTCGAACTTTTTTCATTCATCGTTCGTTCCCTTTGCCTCTAAATAATAGAAAAATAATTGCGATGCGTCATAGCGGAATAATCACACATGCGAGAGAAACTAACACGGCAGATAGAAAATTGCCTGAAGACAATTTTTGTTCGCAGACCACCGGTTATTTCCCACATTATTACCGAACATTGTACGCACGCTGCCGATCGATCCCCTCGACGCTTCTGAAAAATTCGTGCCTCCGTGCTAAATGCATGCATTTTTCTTTCGTATAATTCACCCGATAGTAAAATTAAAAAAATAGAGATGAAAGAACATTATACGCGTGCTGCCGATCGATCCCCTCGACGGTTCTAAAAAATTCGTGTCTTCATGTACTAAACGCATGCATTTTTCTTCGACGTAATTCACCGATAACAAAAATAAAAAAAAATAGAGATGAAAAAATCGTGTAGATCCTAAGAAAACTTTTTCTTCAGGTCTACACAATTTTTTCATCTCTAATTTTTTTTATTTTTGTTATCGGATGAATTACATCATGTGAATTACATCGAAGAAAAATGCATGTGTTTAACGCGGAAGCACGAATTTTTCAAAAGCGTTGAGTATCGATCGGAAGCATGCGTACAATATTCGGATAATAGCGTGGAAAATAACCGATGGTCTGCGAACAAAAATTGTTTTCAGACAATTTTCCATCTGCCGTGATAGTTTTCCTCTCTCACGCATGATTATTTCGCTGCAGTGATATCACGATTCTTATTTTTCTGTTATTTAGAGGCAAAAGAAATGAACAATGAGTGAAAGAATTCCGAGGTAAAACACAATATTCGAGTCATCTTTTCACACAGTAACAAACGACGATCAAACCATTGAGTTATATCAGAAACAATTTTGACGGTAGACTATTTTTTGAAAATACTTTATTTACAAATATTTCAAAAGAATTTCTGGCAATACTGCAGGTAAATATATAGAAATAGAAAGATATTTATTAAAGGCGAAGATAGTATTATATGGTCCCCTATTTATATTTTACATTTGCAATAACTATTATAACTACGGTTTTCGCCTTTTGAAAGGATCAACAAAGTATCTGGGTAATAAATTGCACTGTATTTTTCTAATATATCGCAAATCATGATACATATACATATAGAAGTCACACAGAGCGGGGTATGTCTCAAACTCCGCTATAGGAATACATACGCACCGTTTTACGATCTCCCTTTAGCTTTTCTAACTGGTCTCATCTTTAATTTACACAGTTACTTCTTCGGGAATTTTTGATTTTAGTCGTTCGAATTAAATGATCGGAGCATTAAATGGAAAAGTCTCGATTTTAGGTAGCCATTAATTACAAAGTATGAAACGAAGCACGTCTTAACTAGCCCGTGTCTCTAACAAGTAATACTACCCATACAGAATGGGGTATATGGTGATTTTCGATTCAGCAAATTCGAAAATCACCGTCACCCCATTCTGTAACAAACGTACGAGTACTTCGTCAAATACTGTAATTCACCCCTATACATTCATAAGGACATTTTCTACCCTTAAAATGGCTTTTGGGCAGATATAAAAAAATACGTGTCAGATATTTTTCAATGTACTACATGTATGCACAGTCTCAGGGAAATCGGCGTATGACACTTGGGTAGTGTTACTTGTAAGTCGAGTCTTGACCTCACGTTCTCGCATTTGGTCGCTTGCATCTCTCTCAAATATTCTCCGCACACAAAATATATTTATCGCTGTGTCCTTATCATTTGAAATAATTGGTTAAATTATAGATAGCTTATATTGTAACCGTTTTATGTCGAATTATTATATATGATTAACGCTTACATATTAAATTATACTTCTCTACACACCGATACAAAATGCTTCAAATCTGGTTCCTTTAAATGGTCGAAAAAATGTAAACAGACGATATACCAGAAATTAATGCATTTAAAAGGTCTACGCCCATTGTCCATATTTCCGCGAACGATGGGCCGTGTGGGCAGACAAAATCTTATATGTATGTGTCTACTTTGTGTATATACATATACTTCGTGTATCTGTGTGCTGCGTATACATTCGGCTCTCCGGATTCGTGGCAACATAATTGCCACACTTCAATAATCAATTTTGTCTTGTTTTAGTTATGATACACTTTATCGAGTTTCTTGGAAAAATTCGGCAATCTTGCCTTTTTTTTTACTCTTCTCATCACCTTTTCTGGTCTTCCTTTTTATGCCCTCTGGCCAAATGAATTCGTATTATTCTATAAATCGGTAATGATAATTATATCGAATATATGGCATTCCTTCGCCAGCTTTCCTTCGTTGTATGAAATTGCACCTTAAGGTTCGCTCTATTTTGTACTTCTAATTTTTTATTCTTATTATCGGATAAATACATTGAAAAAAATGCATGTTTTTAACAATGACATGAATTTTTCAAAAATGTTGAAAGGATCAATCGACAGTGCATATACAATTTGTCGAGTAATACCTAATGTGAACAGATATTTATTATTATTATTATACAGACATTTATGTTTATATAGATAAAATATAAGAAATTGAATTTTGTTGTATAAGATAAATTAACATAAAATTATCAGCGAATCCCTTATCGAAGTTGGAGTCATTAAAGGAATTGTAATATATAATATATGATCTTAAATACTCCGTTACAAATATTCCGTTATTCTAAAAAGGATTTACATGTATTTGTCAGTTGTTTATTTATTATGTACTCATATTTACTTTGCATATTTACTTTACCTGTAAATCTCATCAACAGATTTCTGTTTTCATAAAGAAAAATTTTCGATATGATGTAAAAAGAAAGTCAATAGGTGTGTCTAAGATTTCCGTGAATTTTCTACGTTACTTCTTCGCTAACATCTTGATAGAAACATTTTCAAAGTTGTCTCATAAACATACAATAGGAGATCGCCGTTTGAAGTATCTTAAAAGATAAACGTTCTTTATACCCTTCGTCATTATGATTTCTAAATATCGATTTATATTACAGTATATTTTTCCTCACCATTCCGAAATTCTGCAAGGACATCACGTAAAACCTACATGCAGTTAAGATAAGCGGGTGGAAGCGTCGTTTCATTATTAACAATAATGATTTCTGCTCTGAAGCACTTGCACTATACCATGCAGAATTGTACCTGTACGAAATCAAATAACTTATTTTCTGTTAGAAATAAATATTATTTAAATGATTATTGTAATAATGTAGTAAGTAATAATAGAGATGAAATTAGAGAGAGAGATCGAATTTATCTAAAATCAGTCGCTCGTCATTCGTTAAAAAGTTATTAACAAAAAAAGTTTGAAAAATGATGTCTTTTGTTTACTATATAAAACAGAAATTTTCTGCTTTAAAATACTATATTTTACAACTTTCCACGCGAAGCGACCATCATATCAGGTTTATGAACTTATAATCTAAAAATGCTTAAAATAGGCCTGTTTAGCACATTAAAATTAGAATATCTCGTAAACTAGATGTGATGGAGCAATTTGATTTCTCGTGATTTGGTTTTAGCATGTCAAAAACGTTTGAAATTACATATTGCTGTAATTGCGAAATTGCATATTCGGGGTCAAAATTCATGTCGACCTGTGTTATTAAAAAAGATAATATAATACATTACTCACACTTTCTCGCATGCGCTCGAGCTTGCGTCTGTAACTCTTTGTCCCATGTAATTAGATACAAATAGATGTATCAATGTTAGAAAAGCGACACTAATAGATCTGAAGACTCGCTCCATATCGCCAGTAGTGATAAATATCTAAAAAAATCTCGTTTCTATATTTTGATACGCCCAAAGTTTTTCTGCCATTGACATACCTGCGTTAATGCAAGACTCATCGTAAGCACTAATCCTATGATATCCATTAGAAACGGTATTGTGTGATAAAATTCGATCATAGCAACGAATCTTGTAATATAAAAGAAGGTTATATATGTCAATGAAAATTGTGTTAATGAAATGTTAATGAAAGTAATAATGTTTCTTGCATATAAAAACATGTTTATCTGTTATTAACATACATTTTTACGTATAATTTGTAATTTTTATAATTTATTCGCCAATACTTGACTTTTTAGACAGAAAATCATTGTATTTTGATAAGGAAATAATAGTTAAATCAAAAAAATTGATTGGAATAATTATTAAAAATATCTGTTCCCATACAGCACCGATTAGGAGCGATTAATACCTATTGCGGAAAATTTTCAAAAATGTTTCAACCTTTCACATCTCATGTGCAATAATTCTGAAAGGATTCTGCAATATGTCATATGAAATGTTTTAACAGAAATGTTTGTAAAATCTATCATATGCAAATTGATAAATTGAAAAACATATTTAAACAGAACAAAAAATCATCATGATGTTAAAATGGCTCCAAAATGTTTACTAAAAAAATCATTTGTTTAGTAAAAATCATCACGTTTCAGTTTAATGTCATTTTGATGTTATTGTGACTTGTTCTACTTTAGTTGCGAAATACTTTTGTATACAAATGACTTGTTCTGCTTTAATTGCAGCGAAAAACTTTTGTATATGAATAATGATATTGTGTGGAAACTGCAGATGCGATTTTTTAAGAGTAATTATGTATATGTGCTTATATATATACATATAATGTGATTAATTAATCAAAATAGTTGGCGACATAATTACTATTTTTGAGAAATACTTTATAGTACATTGTGTAACGAGTGGGGTTTAGTTGCCTATTGTGCAACGCGGGCGCCGTTGGCGCACAAGCGAAGCGAGTTGCGCAATAGGCAACTACACTACACGAGGTGCACATACTATTTTTCATCACGAGTGCACTGTGTTAGTAATAATGCTATATAATTACAAAGTCGCACGAGCGAAGCGAGATATGGGGCGACATATGGGGCAGTGCGTGAGGCGCAGAAAGGGCAGGGTTCGAGGGGGCGTAGCCCCCCGACAAAAAAAATTTAAAAAATATTTCTTAAATGAATATTTAACAATACAAAATTTTTTAAAATATTATAAGTCAAATATTTGTTTAGGTACTGTATTGTCGTTTTCTCGTAGTCGATAATTTTATTATTGTAGAATATTTATTATGTCAACATAATAATTTAAATATTATTTAAGTATCAATGAAGTATATATTTAAATATCATTTTTGTAGTACTAGAAATAGCTGAAACCTTTTTGGTAATATTTCAAAAAGATTGCAGATTCTTTCTGTAATATTTCATCAACCTTTCAACAAGGTTTCATGTGCAAGAATCGCGGACATTTCGCTATTCCAGAGCTGTCAAAAATATTGCAGATGTATTTCGCAATTTTTATGAAATACTTCACTTTCCAGTTGAAATATTTCTGAGATATTTCTGAAAACTTTCGATGCTATATGGGTTAGGATCCCAGCTAACGCTAAATATTCACAAAAAGTTCGATTCGTATTACCAATGTACCGAATGTTCCGGAACAGTAAAAGAATCGTCACAGAATGTGCAAATGTCGATGAAGTTTTCAGAATATTGTGAATATTCCTTGTAAATTTCACGAAAATCGCGAGCGAGCAAACAGTACACATCTCCGCCGATAGAGGGCCGTGGCGAAGAGTATTAATTCATAAACAAGAATCACCTAGGAGAGAATATTAGTCGATTCGACATCGATTCCATTGTCATTTCTCACTATAAGGGTAAGTCTATGGTAACAACATACAAATAAAATTTTTAACCGACATTTGAATGTTTCTTTTACATATTAAATATTCGGAATATTTTGAAGCATCTTGGAATGTTTTTTTGTGGGAGATTTTAGGAACATTTTATGAATATAACGTTTGCTGGGTATATATTATTTAATTCAGCATTGATAATAAATTCTTTGTTCATTAAAATCGTATCATAAGAACAAGACCAAGTGGAAACAGTGTTTTTAATCACTTGTTATTATGTTTTCGATTTTGCATTCTAGCCACAACTTTTTTGATATGATTACGATAACTTTGACCTCTCCAAATGGGTGTGATTGTCGGAAGGATATTTAGCAAGCAACACGAGTAAAACAATTCTCTGACCAACAGATACCAAAGTAACAAACAATTACAACTAAAAAAAAATGGGGTAGATCTCGTTTTACGTGGAAAGTGGGACTCTCTAAGGCAGGGGAAAGTGAGGTGGTTTTCGCTTCGCGTTGTACAGTAGGATAACTGTTCTTACTACTGTGTTTGTCTCTTTAGTGTGCTTTTGTATTTAAATAAGCCACAAAGAAAACTAGCAAATAAATAAAAAAAAACATTTTTTTATTAAGTTAAATTAATAATGTATACGATACCAAAGATGATATTTTAATTTTTTAACTATTAAAGTATTTTAAACATTTTTCGAAAGATATGAGGAATTTGTGTGAATCCAGTAATATGAAGAAGTAACCACTAGCTAAAATATTGTTCCACAGACGACATGATTTGATTTGGTTTCATATGATTTCATTTGATGACAAATAATTTTCTTATTATATGAAGTTATTTGGTAAAATAATTGATTTTATCTAATATCACACAATTATTTCTTGTAGTTGCATACGTAATTATCGGATTATATATCGGGATTTCATATAAATTTTATAATGATTTGGGGACTCTGTCACACGATTATATTAAGTGATTACCCTCTCGTAGTTATATCACAAGATTTTAAGCCCGTCCCCACTAATGTGCCCTGTATTGAAGCTAAGAACATTGTGTTATGAGTGTAACATTGAAATAAATATAATTGAAATAATGATTTACGTAATATTAACTTAAACAAATTAGCTTACATTTATTATCTGTTTTAGTAACTATAATATATTAAAATGAGTCAAATGTGGATAGGGACACAAATTGGGAGACATAGGGCCATCGCCGCTTGAAGACTCACTAATAGAGACAAAAACATGTTTTTTATTTATATGAAAAACATTATAAAGTATTAATATTTTTTAGATTAAAGAAATATTATACAAAAAAGAATTACGTAGTTGAAAACCGATGTTAATTCTAAGCAGATAAAATTAAATTTACAATATTTAATAATTAATTCAGTAATAAGCATATTAGCTTAAAAGCATATTAATAGGGACAGTTATCTTATATGAACATACTTCCTCCACACATGTAAGATAACTGTCCCTATTAATATGCTTTTAAGCTAATATGCTTATTACTGAATTAATTATTAAATATTGTAACTTTAATTTTAGAGGATGGACTTCATCACCAAAAAGAATAATCTAATCCAAGCTATGTTTTGGTGTGGGGTGTGGATCTTGCTTCGCGTGGAAAGTTGTACTTCCCTAAGCGGGAGGAGGGGGGAGGGTGAAGTGGACTTCACTTTGTGTGGAAAGTCGTACGCTCATAAGCAGAGGGAAGAGGTAAGGTGGACCTTTGTTTCGTATTGAAATTTGGACTCTTCTAGACGGAGAGGGGGGGGATGGAGTGAATCTCGCTTCATTTTTTGTTTATGAACTGAATCCTTTTTTCTCTTTTTTTCCGTTTGTAATTGTTAGTTATTTTGGTATTTGATGGTATCTAATAATTGGAGAATTTTTTTATTACTTTTCTCGTGTTCCTCGCTAAAAATGTTTCCAAAAATCACTTTCATTTTGAGGGACCAAAATTATTGTAATCGTCCCATTTTTTCCAGCAAAATACTCAAAAAGTTGGACTAAACTGATTTAAATATAGATATTGCATGCCTTTTATAAAAATACAAACTGTATAATGTTGCAATGCAGCCGTACAAAAACGACTACATTTCCGTAATTTATTTTTGGCCGTATTGAATCGTATCCCACCGTATCTTCAACAATGTAAAATAAGCGTTCCGCGCGATACCTGCCGAAATTATGTCACTAATATTATTTTTATTATCTGACTGTGAATAATATTCATCTTGTAACAAGCGAAATAATCGATAATTAACGACAAAAATAGAAAAAATAATATAATGATAAAAATTTTTAGAAGCGTAAGAAGTAAAATATTTTTATTTTTAGTATCTTTATTAATGAAAAAGAAAAGTTACATCTACATTTTAAAAAACTTACTGAATTTTATTAAATATTACTGAATAGTTTGAATAGAACTAACAAAATATTTGTTAACATATATTTAATTTAAATATAATTTTTTTATTTTAAATAAATGTTTATTTATTGTAAGTAAATATTTCGTTAGTACTATTTAAACAAATATTTTTAATAAAATTCAATATATATTTTTTTCATTTTATCATGTGCAAATCTACAAATTCGCATAGATTTAAAAGTTAATGAATGAACTGCGCTTTCTAACGATGAGTCGTCTATCTTTCGCAAATAATGCGAAGAGCAATTTCTTACCCCAACAACTCGAACATTCCGTAAGCATGTTGCGTAAGAGTCACATACAAAGTGGAAACGGCAAGAAAAATTAGTGATAATATAAAAATCACGATGCATGTATGGGATCGAATGAGGTTAAAGTATCGTCCTTGATCGATAAAGAACTCAGCTTTAAAAGGTAGTATTCGTGGGCGGGATTCATTTATGGGTGATATAATATCGAGGACATCCGGTAGGACCAGCCATGTGTTGTATCCTATCACGGCTACGTACTGTATAACTGAAAAATTCGATAATTATAAATTTCTTTTAATTATATAATTTTATTAATAATAATAATCTATATTTAAAAAATTATAAATTTTGAATATAGTAGCAAGTCCATTATAATCTTTCGCTTCTTTAAAATTATATTATATATTTTGTCTAAAATTATATCTTAAAAATAACAACTTATTCAATGTCTAAAACAAAATTCTGTACTTTTCAGTACTATTTCTATTATTTAATTCTGTTACAAGTTCTCAAAAAATTCTGTTTAACAACAATACATGATAAATATTTACCTTTATACAGCTCGTCCCAAACTTCCGACCGATCTTGATGTTGGACTTGACCTTCCAAGAGATCAAAATTATTGATCTTTTGCGGCGCTCATTGTTCATTAAAAAATTATTAACAGAACAGTTTTTATGAATTGTATGCAATTTTTTAATACAAGATGCATATACATGCATATTTTTTTAAACAATTTATTTTCAGTATAGCTTTTCAGATCTTCCGTTATTACAAATATATGTATACGTATATCCCTTAAAAGGACCGATTTTAGTCTTAAATACGACTTAAACGACTAGTATAGCAATATTGCTGTGTGCAAACAAAGCTGTAGGCAATTGTTTTATAGGCAAATGGGATCCTCCCTTTATTTCATAGTCCACAGGACATATTTGGACTAGAGCTGTTACTTTTGACTGACTTTAAAGGTTCGAAGCTTCGAATTCTTTCGAAGCTTCAAAGTTAACTTCGAATTTTCGAAGTTTATGATGTTTTCGAAGCTTTCGAAAAATACATTCATGCGCGAATGGCAAATTTATTTAGAAAATGCTAAAATATTGTAAATAAAAAGAATTAGTTAACATATATGCATAAAACTGTGATATTCTTAAAAAATTTGAAAGTATTATAATCTGAATATTACATATTATTAATTAATCAGATTTGATATACTAAGTAAGAAAACAATATAAAAATAAATAAAGTAGGCTAATAAGAGTGTCAGCAACGATAAACGCAATTTCTTAGTGAATAATTAATACTCAGAGATTGGATTGATGTCTTCTTTATTTGAACGTGTCAACTCTCTTTGGAGTTCTCCTCACCCTCAGCAAGAAAGATACAAGTATAAATAGTTCACATGTCCATAACGATTAAGTCACTTACAAATTGACAAAGATGAAGCGTTACTGATCTGATAAATTTAAAAAATCTCATTAGAGTGATAAATGAGTAAACAAAATTAAATGACTCACCTTTATGGAACATGAAGCGTGTCATGAAGCTTTGTTATATATATTTAAACTTAAAAAGTAGATGTGTTAAATTCAGATATAACGATCGCACATTTTGAAATCACGTCCGTGTACGACGACGTGTCAGATATGAACTATTCTCAAGACAAGAGATTACATATAGTTTTATATTGTTTAAAATTCGAGATTATAATTACACAGGCAATAAAAAAAAGTATTCTGTACTGGGGTGACTTCGTCAATCTCCGTAGTCAATGTCGTGTTGGATAATGCCGTGTTTAGTCAAAAACTTCTGAATCAGGTGAGATTAATGAGCAGATGCGTTATCGTACAGACATTGTGAAATGCGACGCTCGGAGTTTTCGACGCTCACACAACTGTGTACCGTTGCCGACTGAACAGCTGTTGGGTCGTGCCGCTTGGTGGGGATACTCCTAAAGATCCACCTTAAATACTGAATACCTGTTTTCCATAATAGGATGCTCAAGGACAAAGATATACGCAGAGATCGGACACTTGTCGGACAGACTTCGTTAAAAAAAGTAAGCTGAAATACCTATATGCACCTTGTATTAAAAAATTGCGTACAATTCATAAAAATTATTTTATTAATAACTTTTTAATGAACAATGAGCGCCGCAAAAGATCAATGATTTTAATCTCTTTGAAAATCAAGGTCAACATGGAGATCGGAAGTCATTTGTGGCGGGCTGTGTAAAGATAATGGGCCTTCTACAATAAGCCATTAGTCATAAATCAGAAATTACAAGCTGGAAATTGATCAATCACCGTCGTCAATTTTTAGCTTCTGACTTCTGATTTAAAACTAATGGCTTATTGTAGAAGACCCATAAAGTTTTACCCAATATATTAATATGTGATATGAGGAAAAAACTAGGAATAGTTTGGGGAAAAAGTGAGGAAATATGAGCAATGAGAGATCCAATCATTCTTAAAAAATTTCACATCTATTTAATTTGATGACAGCGATTATAACAAACGCATTTTAAAAATAAAATTATGTTTATATATGCATAATTAAAACAGAAATGTCACGCGTGTTACTCGTCGAAAGTAATGCGTACACGATGAATAATACGTCCGATGTTGACAATGAAAAGGGAGCATGATTGATTTTAAACATAGAAATACAATGTCGATCTTATGGATCTTACAGATAGAAAGACACATCTTTTTCTTTGGATAAAGCGAAGTTTAATATTTTTCTTACGCAAATAATAAAGCGTCAATAATCTCGACGTCTCGGCATGCTTCTGCATGATCTTGATCTCATAATTTGTCTTTCGTAATCTCCAATCGTTCCACATATGTTCAAATAGATCCCTAAGCTAAAAATAAATTAAATAATAGCCTATAAATAGTTAAAATAAATTATGACTTGTAAAATAATAAGAGCAAGACATTTGAAAAAGATAATTGAATAATTATATTTATTTATTAGACAAATTATTAATCGTTATATTTGTGTAATAATCAGACTTACAAAACTTTACAAATAATATACCATTTTTATTTTATCACAAATATTTCGTTATGTACATAAAATATATGTATAACTATTTATAGTTATGATAAAAATAATGACATTAATTAGAATTAGACTAACTGCAATTCTGACATTCTACATATAGATACACACATGAAAAACTTGTAAAAACGACTTTTTATGTAAATTTTGTATAAATTAAATGTTTATAATAAACAACACATTCTGTCCGAATTTTTAAAATTTATTAGGTTTATAAGTAACGACCGATTAAACTTACTTTGCCTGCATGTCCGACACGTGCATACATTTGGCTCAGGCTACCCATCACAGGCACAAATGCTGGTATCATATCGATTATGAAGTTCGCGGTGATATTAGACATAAATAAGCTCAATAGCTGAAAACATGTTATTAATCGTCCTTGATAGGAACAAAAGATAAACATTCACAGAAAAAAATTACATCTTTAATTGTCATTTTAAAATTGAATTATGAATCATCTAAGAGAGGTTTTAAAATTTCAAACAATTGTGTATGGTTTATATATAAAAAGATATATATATATTTACATATAAAAAAATATCTACATAAAACAACTTTGGGAAACAAAGTTTCCAGATGTAAACATAATAAGATGTTTAAAACAGCTTATTTATTAGATTTTGAACGAATACAACTTTGATTGTGTACAGTTACTGTAATACAGTTTATACGTAGTAATATATATATTCAATAAATTATGATATATTTTTTCAATCAGATTTCACAAATGTCTAACATTTTTAAAAATATCTTAAATTATTTAATTGAAAAGAAAATTATTTTCCATACTACGGTTATATACCTGAAAAATTATAGATGACAGTAATATAGTAGTGATAACAGCCCTCACTACACGAGTGCTCCATTTACTTTGATATGGCCATAACCCAGTAAGCAACAGCACAAATCGATTTAGTTTGTAATAACGCTCTTCAGGATGTTCCATTTGTTTCGAAAGTCTTGAACAAACTGATCGTAGAAGCGAAGAGCTCGCCGATTATTATTATTGCTATAATCATCTTATCTTTTTTTAAAGGTATATTCAATTCTGCATCTCTAATTTTTCAATTTTATTATTAGTAAATTACTTTGAAGAAAAATGCGTGCATCTAGCGCGGAAGCACGAATTTTTCAGAAGCGTCGAGGGGATCGATCGACAGCACGCATACAGTGTTCGGATAATAACATGGGAAATGACCGGTGATCTGCGAACAAACATTATTTTTAAACTTTTACATCTGCCGTGTTAGTTTTTCTAGCACGCGCGATTATTTTACTGCAGCGATATCGCAATTATTTTTTTATTATTTACAGGGAAAAGAAGCGAAAAATGAGTGAAAAAAGTCCAAGATAAAACACTATATTTGATGAGTATATTTCGCACAGTACATAACAAAAGATGACCAAACCATCGAGTAACGATGTTA